GACGCGCTGCGCCTGGAGGGCGTCAGGATTGGCCCCGACGCGGACCCGGCGCCCCCGCTAAGCGGCCGCCTGCTGCTGGTGAGCGCCTCCGCGCCTCTTTCATCTGGACCTGTATGCACTGGGCCTCCGCCGTCCCGCTTACACCCCTTCCTGAGCCCTGCCCCACCACAACCCCTCTCCCAGAACCAGCCTTCGTCCTGGATTGGACGCTGACAGCCCAGCGCCCTCTCCCCAGGCTGCCCAGGGCCCCAGCACGAAGGCTTCAAAATTTGAGACCCAGATGCTCGTCCCTCCAAACGCATTCCTAAACGCTGGCCGGGATCCCCTGAGCGGCCGACCTCCAGCACCCCCTTCTCCCTCCCCTCCCTCTGCCCGCGGCCCCTCACCCACAGATGGACATGGTGGATGCAGAGCAGGAGGTGCCGGTGGAAGGCTGGATTGCAGTGGCCTACGTGGGCAAGGAGCAGGAGGCCCAGTTCCACCAGGAGAATCAAGGCAGCGGCCCCCAGGCCTATCCCAAGGCCCTGGTCCAGCAGGTGCTGGTGGGGTGTGTAGGGAGAGGGAAGCTAGAGGAAGGGGTGCCCAGGCATCTGCCGGAGCCTGGTTTCTAGGTGGGCACCCAGGATTTTCCAGAGACGCCCTGGGTCTGGGTGGGCCAGGGGACCCCAGTTTGGAGAACTGGGTCAATATGTTATCGAAGCAGGGAAGTGGGAGGCGGTGAGGAGAGATTAGACTAGGCTCCCAGGGGATCAGACTGGGAGTTCTTACAGGGGGAGGTGGGGGTGCCTGCCTGCTAGCACCAGGGAAGGCACAGCATTGTTTGGGTCCCACAGAACATGGTGGAGGGGGGGCAGGAGGAAGAGGAGTTTCTGCCTTCGGTCTCAAAGAGCTAGCTTATCCTAGTCTGCAGAGGAACTACTCACTGTAAAGCCAGGAGCTAGCGTCATCTGGCTGCAGGTGGCAAGAGGGGGGTGTGGACAGGTGTGTGCCAGCCTCCTGCCCTCTGTCGTACAGATGCGCCGAGCCCTCTTCCTGGGAGCCTCTGCCCTGCTCCTCCTCATCCTGAACCACAACGTGGTCCGAGAGGTGAGCCCGGAGCAAGTGGTGGGGGTACAGGCTGGGTACAGGGGACCAAGGCCTGCTGATCTCCCTGTCTTCTTGCAGCTGGACATATCCCAGCTTCTGCTCAGGCCAGTGATTGTCCTTCATTATTCTTCCAACGTCACGAAGCTGTTGGAGGCACTGCTGCAGTGAGTTGGGTTTTGGGCTCTGGTAGGGCTAGGCCTGGATGCTGAGGTTCCCCATCTCTGCCGTGGGCTCAGGGGTCTCAGAACCAGGGCCTTTCCTGTTGATCTGAAGACTGTAGTCACCTGGTCTGAAAACTTGATGAGGGGACTGGAAGGAGGAACCAGAGCCTGGAGAGAGGAGGGGGCTCTGTGGGCAGAGGGGATTGGCCCGGGTAAGAGGAGGCTGGACACTTGATTGAGAGGCTGACCCCTGGGCTTATGGTGTCCCTGGCCAGGCGTGTGTGAGAAACGGAAAAACCAATGGCCGGGAAAGACCTGGGGGCCAAAGCAGAAGGGCTGGGGTGATATTCTGGGATATCCCCAGCAGGACTGGGAGTAGGCTCCCAAGGGCCCTTCCATGTGACCCTTGTGTGGGTCTCTCTCCCAGGAGGACCCAGGCCACTGCTGAGATCACCAGTGGAGAGTCCCTGTCAGCCAACATCGAGTGGAAACTGACCCTGTGGACTACTTGTGGCCTCTCTAAGGATGGCTATGGCGGCTGGCAAGACTTGGTGTGCCTGGGAGGCAGCCGTGCCCAGGAGCAGGTAGGTGTCAGTATTATACAGGGCTGGGGAGAGGAGGTACTGGTGGACCGCACACATGGCCTTGTCTTAGAAGTCTTGTGGCCTCTCACGCTTTGGTGGTGGTGGCTACTACTCCCTCAGCGGGTTGTCATGATGCTGGTGGGTGCTTGGTGTGGCCCTTGGCCTAGGGTCATTCAGTGTTGGCCATTGTTGTCATGTTGCTCCTGCTCAGAAGCCTTCTCGGGCTCTCCATTGTCCGCAGAGTAAAGTTCAGTCTCCTTAGGCTGGTGTCTTAGTCATCTAGTGCTGCTCTAACAGAAATACCACAAGTGGATGGCTTTAACAAAGAGAAATTTATTTTCTCACAGTCTAGTAGGCTAGAAGTCCAAATTCAGGGTGTCAGCTCCAGGGGAAGGCTTTCTCTCTCTGTCGGCTCTGGAGGAAGGTCCTCGTTGTCATCAGTCTTCCCCTGGACTAGGAGCTTCTCTGCGCAGGAACCTCGGGTCCAAAGGACGTTCTCTGCTCCTGGTGTTTCTTTCTTGGTAGTATGAGGTCCCCCAACTCTCTGCTTGCTTCCCTTTCCTTTTATCTCTTGAGAAATAAAAGGTGGTGCAGGCCACACACTAGGGAAACTCCTTTTACGTTGGATCAGGGATGTGATCTTAGTAAGGGTATTATACAATCGTACCCTAATCTTCTTTAACATAAAATTACAATCACAAAATGGAGGACAATCACACAGTACTTGGAATCAGGGCCCAGCCAAACTGATACACACATTTTTGGGGGGACATAATTCAATCCATGACACCTGGCTTTCGAGGCTCTCCTGACCTAAGGCACTCGTCCTGTTTTTCTAGTCTTTTCTTGCCTGCACCTCTTTGCCCTACACTCTCGCCACCCTGTGTCATTTGCTGCCTTCACACACCCCTCGAGACTCTGCTGCTGGGCTTCTGGCCAGGCTTGGCCATCGGCATGGATACCCTTTCTCTCCATTTCCACGTGTAGCAGAGACTTCATTCACGACTCATCCTGCCTTTCTTCTTTGGAAAGCCTCCCTCGTGCCCTTAGTACAAAGTCCCTCCCTTCCTCTTTTTAAATCACACACTTTGTCTTTGTAGGGCTCCTAAGACAGCCGCTCCTGTTTAGGTTTTGGAGTGCCTGGCTTTGTCTCCCAAGGGCAGGGGCTAGGTCTTGTCTCTGGATTTCCCATCTCTTGCCATCAAGGGGGTTCAATGGTGTTCTGTCCGCAAACATTTATTGAGCACCTACTCTGTGTGGGGCGGACATACCCCATCCCTGCACACAGCCTCCAGCAGGTGTCAGCGGATGTGGGCAACATGAGGCAGCCTCATCAGGCAGAGAACCAAACCAGTAGACCATCGAGTTGAGATGACTTCGACTCATGGTGACCCCATGTGTGTTAGAGCAGAACTGTGCTACATACGGTTTTCATGGCTGCGACCTTTCAGAAGCAAATAACCAGGCTTCTTTTCTGAGGCACCTCTGGGTGGGTTCAAACCACCAACCTTTCAGTTAATAGCCAAGCTCGTAACTGTTTGTACCATTCAGGGACTCAGGTTCAAATCCTGGCTTGGAAACCTCAGCGGAATGTTCTTGGGCTGAGTGTTTAGCCTCTGTGGATCTCATTCTCTTTATTTGTGGACAGGGACAACACAACAGCTACAGGAATGTCGGGGATAGTGTGTGTAAAGCACTTAACTCGTGGTGGGTGCTAAGCAAACGGGCAGCTGCTGCTGCTCTGAACATCTTTCTTGCAGTAAGCACTTGAATAGATCAGCCATTACCAAATCATTTTGGAGTTCCTACGCCATGTGGGGCTGCGTGTGAAGGCTGTGGAGGATACGAAAGGCCTGTGAGACCCTGTTTCTGCCCTCGCGGGGCTCAAAGATGAGCAGGGAAGAAGGGACTTGAACACAAAGGATACATGGTGACTCAGCCTGTCGGCTGAGCCTTTGTTGGGGTAGCAGGCACTGAGGCTAAATAACAAGCAAGCGAATGGCTTTCTGGAAGAGAAGGCTGCCCCACTATATGTCCCCCGTGAGGGTAGCCCCACAGACGTCTGGTGAGGGGCTGAGGAGATGCCTGCAGAAAAGGGTAGAGGAGAGAAGGTGGACTGGGAGACAGCCTTGGGAGGCTAGGGTGGAGTGTGCACAGTCTGCCTAATGGACTGGCTGGTACCGAGGGCAAGGCTGAGCAGCTGTAGCCATACTGCTGGCCGGGGTGTCTGAAGGGCGACTGGGGCAGGCACCCAGCTGGTGGATCTGATGCTCAGCCCCAGCTCCAGGGCCCAGTCACCACCCATCTGGCCCCAGGAACCCAGGGAGTTGCAGCACCCGTGGGTCGGGAAGGTCTGAACAAACCACTTGCCCCAATTCCGCCCTCCCTCCTCACCCAGAGGACCCCAAGATAGGCTGAGCCTGGGTGGCTGATTCTGTGGCCTGCAGTGGAGGTCTAGTGTGGCCATACCCTTGGCCCACCCACCCAGCACCTTCTGGCCACCCCAAGGCATGGAGGCTTAGAGCTGGCCTGTCCTGGGAAATTACACTGTAATGGCCACTTGGTGAGGCCTGCCTGTGTCAGCCTGGCTCAGCACAGCCCAGGCTCACAGGGCTTGTCTCGGGAGGAGATAGGCCAGAGACACTGTCACTCTGCTGGGTGGAGCACTGAGCTGGTGGGGTGTGGTGGGGCGGAAGGTGGAGTGGGCATAATGAAGACCCCTGAGCCCAGCTTCCTGGAGTAAGTGCCACCACTGCAGGTGGAAGGGAGACAGGGACAGAGGCCTAGGAGGAGAAAGGAGTGCAGGACTGACGGGGGAGCTGGGCTCACAGACCTCTCTTGGTAACATCCCCCACCCTGAGCAAGAGCAATGGTTTGCGACACTAGTAGCAGAGTGGGGGCCTCTTTTAACATCAAATCATCCTTCAGCCCCTCCCCCCATGATGGTACTTGAACTGGAGCATTGGCTGAGGAAGAACACGGCAGAGAGCTAAGACTGCAGAAAGCTTTTCAGTGCATGCGCTTTATTAGTCACCTCTATAGACCCTGAGAAGTGTGCCTGTGACCAGTGGCTACATTTCGGCCGGCAGGAGGTGCTCCTGCTCAGTTCCACCCACCTATTCCTGAGCAGTCACACTGCATATGGTGGGAGTGAAATCGAGGTCACTGTGGTCCCCCAATCACTCTGAGGCCCACCGAGAGATCCAGGGCCCACAGGTTTTAAAGTGTTCTCTCAGTTGTCTTTTCCCTAAGTGAGGCGCTGGGGCTGTGTGGTGACTGTGTTAGGTATGATTGTCACCGACAGTACTCTCAGACTGACAGGTACCCCCAGACAACAGAGGGAGAGCAGGCAGCCAGGAAATACACAGTCAAGGTTAGGTGTGAGGAGGGCCGGGAGGGAGAAGCAGCGGGAGCACTTCTTGGATCAAGGGGTTCCCAAACCCAGGGAAGGGAAGAGTGTGTGGAAGGGTATAGGTGTGGGAAGGGCTGGGAGCATGGGCCGCTGAGAGGAGGGCAGCAGGAGAACTGAGGTGGGCCACATCTCTGATGAGGGCCTGCAGGCCGGGCTAGGCTGAGTTCGGGCTTTTTCCTGAGGGTGGAGACAGGCTGCAGGGTGGGGTGTCCAGCAGGGTTGCCCAGTCAGGTTTGTAGTTGAGTTCTCTCTTGCTGCCAGGTGGGAGTGGGCATGTGAGACTGTAGGCAGGGAACCAGAGAGCAGTGGAAGATCATGAGATGCGGGGGCATGAGAGATCTAGGAGGGAGACGCAACAGGATGGGGCCCAGCTTGTTCTGAGAGTGGGTGCAAGTGCCTGGCTTGGCTGGGGCGTGGTGGTGGGCACTGAGAAAGAAGACCAGGAGGAAGCTTAGGGTCCTGGGTTGGGGAGTCCATGAGGCTGCCATATGGAAGCTTTCATGTGTACAGAAACATGGGGTTTGTTGCTCAGGAGAGGGCTGGGCTGGGGAGAGATTTGGTCTCCCAGGCAGAGGATATGAGATGTGTAGGGTGGAGAGAAGGCAGCTGGGGGCAGACCTGAGGGCCTCACATGTGGGAGGCATAGAGGTGGCAGAAGAGGAAGCTGGGCGCACACAGGGAAGTGGAGCCCTCAGCGCACTCGCTTGTCTGGTCCTTGGTGCTCTGGGGATGGATGTCACTGGCAGAAGAGTGCAGGGCGGCTCCAGGCCCTGACAACCCCACTCCCCTCCCCAGAAGCCCCTGCAGCAGCTGTGGAACGCCATCCTGCTGGTGGCCATGCTTCTGTGCACCGGCCTCGTGGTCCAGGCCCAGCGGCAGGCGTCGCGGCAGAGCCAGCGGGAGCCTGGAGGCCAGGTGGGAGCCCGCAGGAGCCCCGGCCACCCCCAGCCTTCATGCCAGAGAGACTGTACCTGCCCCTTCCTCACAGGTGGACCTTTTCAAGCGCCGCATGGTACAGAGACTGGCATCGCTCAAGACCCGTCGCTGCCGTCTGGGCAGGGCGGCACAGGGCCCCCTGGAGCCGGGCGCTGAGACCTGCGCTGTGTGTTTGGACCACTTCTGCCACAAGCAGGTTAGTGCCCTGGGCAGAGATCAGCCCTTGGCTGACCCGTGATGTTCCCCACCTTGCTCCAGAGAGACCTCAATCACCCCAACCAGACCCTTCTCCAGGCCCGCTCCCAGCTACTAGGACTATGGAATGGGGGGAGGGGACAGGATAGGTCATTGGGAGCTTCAGTTTCCAGCTCAGGTGTGGGGCACAGGAAAAGGCACCCACACCAGAGTCCTGCGCCTGTGGCCTGAGCACCAACCCTCTCCACAGTGGCTTCGAGTACTGCCCTGTAAGCACGAGTTCCACCGAGACTGCGTGGACCCCTGGCTGCTGCTCCAGCAGACCTGCCCGCTGTGCAAATTCAACGTACTGGGTGAGCAGGGGCGGGGGCCCTGGGCTGATGCCACCTGGGCCCCGCCTGATGCCTCTCCCTGCTCTTTCTCCTCCTCTCCCTGCAGGGAACCGCTACTCAGATGATTAGCTGCCCACCTGTACCGACCCTCGGCCTGGGCTCCTGGAACAGTACCGCAGAGTGGATGGGACAGAGGCCTCTGTGGGTTGGACAAAGGGCCCCTCCCCTGATGGGGGGCAGGGTACTCTGCTGTGTCCACACTGGGAAGGTGGGGCCAACATCCCCAAGCAGGATGCAGGGCTGGGACCAGCCAGTCCAGGAACAGAGGCTGCTTGGGGCCCTTCTCTGCAGTTCGGGGGCTTCTTGCCTGCCCTCCTCACAGGCAGCTCCTCAGCACCCGGGCAGAGGCCTGGGTGAGAGGGTGAGGGATGGCACAGCTGCTCCCAGGGACTGGGGGCTCTCTCTGGCCTGCCTGTTAGGGTGCTCCTGGAGGCTGAGGCTAGTGTTTTGTGTTTATTTATTGGGGGGTGGGTTGGGGGAAGAACTTTCTGGCCTTGGGGACACCCTGGCCTGACCATCTTTCAGGACACACCTCAGTCAAGGCTGTGATGTTTGACCCAGAGACCCCACCCTGCCTGCTGCCCCCAGCCGCGGACATCGCTGCGTGCCCGGCTGGGGTCCCTCCCTGGGCCTGGCTGTGACCAGAGGCCTTAGAGACCATCCAATCCTGAGCTTCTCGGTCAGGGCTACGTGTGCCAACTGGGATCCCTGAAGCCGCAGGGTGGTGCATCTCCCAGGGGCACTGGTTTTTTTTTAGGGAAGATTTGGGGTGGGAAAGGTTTAATATTAAAATAAACGTGAATATATTTTAACAGAAGATATAAAACCTGTTTGGATTTTTTAAGGTAAGTTACCTTGGCCTCTACTGCCTGTGGCAGGCAGAATTCTATGATGGTCCCCAAGACTTCCCACCCCTCTTTGTGCAAATGCTCTGTGTAATTGCTAGAACTGGGAATATAATGGATTTTCCTTCTGTAGTTCAGTTACGTCATGTGGCATTGAACCATAAGGAAAGTATGCAAGTGGGCCTGATCTAATCACAAGAGCCCTTTAAAAGCAGACAGTTTTCTCTAGCTGATGGAAGAAGAGGAAGTCAGATTTGAAGCATGAAGGGGATTCAACATGTGAGAAACTTGTTGACTTGAAGATGGAGGGGGGCCACATGGCAAGGAACATGGGTGGCCTCTAGGTACCAAGAGCAGCCCCCAGCTGACAACCAGCCAACAAGGACACAGGGCCCTCAGTTCTACAGCCGCAAGGATCTGTATTCTGCCTACAACTGGAATGAGCTTAGAAGTGGATTTGTCCCCAGGGCCTTCAGATAGGAATGCAACCTGGCAGATACCTTGATTTCATTCTTCTAAGACTCTGAGCAGAGAACCCAGCCACACAGGGCTGGACTTCTGACCTGTAGAACTCTGAGCTAGTTAATGGACACCAAGTAGGTGGAGGCCTGAGAGGAGCTGACCTGCGGAAAGTTCTTCACCTGGACCTGGGCATAGGCAACCTGGCTGTCTCAACTGGGAGGGCTGGGCCAGTGCTCAGCCTCCCTCAGGAACCCCTGGGCTCCACTGAAGCAGGTTAGGCAGACCCCGGCTGTGCCAGCACAGCTAAACACATGGCCCCTCTTGACCCTTCTGTGTAAACTGAGGCAGTATGCCAGATGGCCTCCTCACCGGGAGAGAATTCCACCCTGAGAAAGCCTGAACAAGGTCTTGGAGCCTGCTCTCAGATGAGGTGACTTGAGGCATTGAGGTAGAAAAGTAGACTGGTGTGGCTGGTGATATCAACAGCTGAGTGGACTCCGAGGGACAGACCTGGGAAAGCCAGAGCTGGCTGTGGTGTCCACCTCTGGCTAGGCAAGGCCTTGCCCTGCCCTCAGTGGCTTCCTGGGGATCTGATTTAGAGAAGCCCTTTTTCCCTCTCACCATTTTCTTCAGGTGGGAGTTCCTCTGTGAAGGAGGGCTGACTTCCTTGGATCCTTAATGTCCCTTCCCCAAGCCCCAGAGCCAGGGTGGCAGCCTCTGATGCCTCCCTGGCCTCAGACATCCTCGTCAGATCCTCCTCAGCAGCTGCTCTCCATTTCCTGCCCCTCCTCTCACTTAGTGCAGGCCACTGAGTCCATGTCTCCCCCTTGGCCCTAGCTGTGGGGGAGAGAGACTGTCCTTCACCTTACCCAAGTGCTAGAAGCTTCTCTCTGCCCTCTGTATGCCCTCCTGTTGCCACGGGAGGGAGGGAGACGAAGCTGCCATTTGCTGTGGGCCCACCGTGTGCCAGGACTGTGCTGCTGGCCAATGACCCGTGTGGCTGGTTCAGTGGCCCCCACCCAGGAGGGGGAAGGAAGGACCCTTTCCCCAGTCAGCCAGTGCTGTGAGGCCAAGATTGCAGTGGCCAGGTGGCCAGGGCTTTATTACACTGGGTGAGTTGCCAGCCACCTGCCCACCCTGAGCCCCACCACCACAGTAGGCTACGTAGGCCGCTCCTGGGGCTGGTGTGCAGAGCTGGCCTGGCCCCGGCACGGTGAGAGTCTCCTCCTCAGCCTGGCCAAGGCTCGGATGGGGTTCTGGGAGCAGATGGCTGAGTGGGGTACTTCCTCCAGGGATGAGTTGCTGGGCTGGCTGCCAGGCTTCTGAGGTGGGAATGCTCGGGACTGGCCTGACAGGGTCCTGCCCGCACTGCTTGTCCTGCTGCCAGGTGGGGGCCGCCTGCCCAGCGGCCTGTGGGAAGACCAGACCACAAGAGCCCCTGTGAGTGAGCCTGGACCACCCACCCAGCCTGCCACCTCTGGCAAAAGCCATACTCACCCTGGGGAGGCTCTCTGGGCCTGGGCTGGGTGTGCTGTTCCTGGGGTTCCCTTGGTGAGAGGGGAGCAGAGCTGGTCCTGGGGGATCAGCTGCAAAGAAAGCCAAGCTCAGAGAGACCCAGGAGTCCCCTCCCCACTTTACAGAGATGGTATGATAGCTGGAGGTGGTAGACAGTGTGAACCCAGACTCACAGCCCCTTCCACTGAGGGGCAGGGTTTGGGAAGCTTCCAGGGCCGTCCTCAGCCACAGGCATTAAGTGTAGGAAGGTTTGCTTTCCAGCATGGCTCCTGATTACGCTTGGAATAAAGGTACAAGGGCTATGAGGGAGGATTTGGAGCCGGGAGGAACTGAACCCATACCCTTCTCATCCCTTCTCGAGATGTGGAAGACACATGGCAGCTTCACAGAAGCCAGGCCTACAGTTCCCAGGGTGGAGTGTGATGACCTCTGCTGGGTGGGGAGCCTCCTCCAGGTCCCCAAGGGCCCACCTTCTCAGGTTGGGCGGGGTGGGCTGCCCACCTTGAGTCCCCCCTGCTGGGCTACCTCCCGGATTTTGGATAGCATGGCCCGGAGCCTCTCGTTCTCCTCCTGCAGGACCCGGATGCGGATATTGTTGGCCTGCACCTGCCTCTCCATGTCGTCTGTGACGTTGCCAGAGCCTGTGGGGACACACTGTCTGGGACCCCACCCCGCCAGGCCTGCCTCTTGCATGGGATGGGAAAGGGCCTCAGAGGGCGGGCACCTTGCC